CACCTGTGTCGTTACGACTGATCCTCTGTGTGAATGGAGTAATTCTCATTTTTGCCCCAGGGTATGCAGGACGGGCATAATAAAGCTGATGTCTCTACTTGGCCCTAAGGGCGTGCAACACCTTGACTCGCAAGGACCCGAAGCGATCAGCGCGCGCCTAGAGACGTTTTCGAGCTATGCAAATTCTCTGCTAAAGCACCTAGAGCAGAAGATGTCGGCGTCGACGGCGTCTATGACGCCACCGTCGACGAGGAATGACTCCATCCGACCCAGGCCGTTCATGGTGAGCGTTAAGACTTTAAAGGGCAAAGGTGGAAAGTATCTTCTGCTCTGGGTGAGAGGACTGAGCGTCCGCCATGCTCCAGACCGAGCAACAGTGTGTGGCGTTATCTATCTCAAAGCTCGGTGATCGAGCGGAGAATAGGCACTGACGTGCGGTACTTCGATGGAAGCGGCGTTTCCTCCTGGACAAAGCTGAAAGTGCAGCTTTTATGAGTGTTCTCGCCGCCTAACCAGGCATATCGCGTGCGATCGCCCGTTGAAGAAGCAGTGAATGTGGCATTGAATGCCGAATGCAACTTTAAGTCGGCATGACTTGGTCGGAATGCACACTCTCAGAGCTCGTCAAGTGGGCCTGAGCCAATTAGTCTCAGCTATGCTAATAGAATGGAGGGAGAGCTCCGGGCTGCCGAGAAGAGTTTGAACACCCGTAGTGTATTGCCTGTAAAGATACCTGTCCGCTTAAGACTGGTTGTCGCCTGCGAAAGGCGCGTAAAAATTCCGTCGAGCCGACGTTCCGCTTCTTAACAGTCTGATTTGTCGCGAGAAGACGAAAAAAAACAGTAGGCGCGGGGTGCCGAAGAACTTATTTCTGTCGAGCCTCAAAGTGATTGAGATCAACAGGGCCCAGCTTTGAAGAGCTCCGTGCTCTTCAACACGGAACTTGTAAGCAAGCCAGGCTTGCTGGTCTTGAAAGTGACCGTGAAACGGTTGAGGAGCCATGGAGGAAATTGATCGACTCCGGAGCGTCGGGCAATTATGCTCGACGCTCCACGATCAAAGGATGTCAGCTGTATTCTGAGGCACTGAAAGCGCGATTAAGTGACATCGCCACTGTTCGCCTAGCGACGGGACAACATGTTACGGCGCCGAGGGTTTCTGTAGACCTCGGTATCAAGGTTCTTGACTCCGATAGCGTGGAATGCTGCTTAGTCGTAGTCTTGGAGTTAAAGTATAACTTCATCCTTGGTATGGCATGGTTGGAGCACCATGAGCCATGGATCGATTGGAGGTCGAAGACCTTGGGCGCTACGCACACGTCTCCTGGTGGAGCTTTGGTGAGTCATGAACCCACATCTGCTATGAGGCAAACACGCTGTCGGCGCGGGCACTGGACCGGGACGGTCAACACACTGGAGATCAGACTATCCGAGTGACAAACACCTAAGGTGCATCGGACAGGAGTCCCGAGTATGAGTCGCGGGTTGAACGTGGAGTGGCACGTAGCCCACTAGCGCTGCCCAAGTATCGAAGCAGTCGCTGCGTGCGACGAGTGGTATGATAGGACGAGGTCCGAGGCATATTGGGTAAGGCCCTTCTTGGGATCCTTCGAAGAGTTCGGCGGTGCCTTGAAGGCAGTCGACTTAGCCAAAGAGGTCATTATACGACCCGGAGAAGAGATCAGCTCTTCGTCGCTTTCGGGTAAATCTGTCCTGGAGGACACCATGAGGGTGATAAACGCACGAAGTGGATCTTCGGTCCTGCAGAATTCCGTACTATCCTTTCGTGAAGGAATTACAAGACGTCGTCTCCAAAGACCCGCTTTCAGTACTACCTCCGGACCGAGGTGTGCGTCATGAGATCGACCTGGTTCCGGGAACCAAATCCTGCGTAACACGCCAATGGTCCCTGCCCAAGGAGCAGTGTGACGTCGTTAACGCCTTCTTCCGTGCGAAGCAAGGCGTAGGTATGGTACGTGAGAGCAAGTCTTCTATTCGACACCCACGTTTGTGTCCGGAAGCCGAATGGTAAGTGGCGTATCGTTCACGCTTACAATAAGCTCAACGCTGCCATCGATCCGACACAGACGCCGATTCCTAGAGAGGATGTTCTCTAGAAAATATGGCTGGATATTCAAAGTACAGCGCACTCGACTTGGTCGATGGATATTAACAATTGCCCATGAGTGCCAGTGGTATTTGCTGACAGCGGTAAGTACTCCTATCAGCTACTCTGGGGATGACTGGTGATGCCACAAGGGCTGTCAAATGCACCAGCAACATCAATTTGTATTGTGACCTAGTTGTTCAGGCCCCACCGGGCGCACAGACATACTGCAACGACATCTTCGACCACAGTAGTGCGGAGAACGGGTGAACGGATGAAGAGAACGAAGTTGTCCATTTGAGTGCAGTTCTAGAATGCATGCGGTTCCAAAGAACCAAAATGTCTTGCGCACAGGCTTGGCCTCACCAACACGGTCATTATCGGATCTTTTTACGAAGGATGAGGAATGGTGTTTGGGCAACGAGGATCAAGTGCGCCATCGTCAACGGTC